TGAACCTCAGAGAGTGGGGATTTTAAAGAAAAGTTACATTTTACTCTACAGTAACCTTAGTCTAAGCCATATTTCATCATTTACTGGGATGGTTTGCAGGAGTTTGGTTTGAAAGGGACATTTCATCCCAGAGCCAAAATAAAGTGTTCTCCAGTACCAACCTGTTATGTTTTGAGTTTCTAAATAAATTATGTTACAATGTGAAATTATGTTCAAAGTACATCAGCATATAGGTAAGAGAAAGGGGCGGCTAACATCCCCCGCAGTTAGTTATTTTTTTTATTGAGCTATTCTTTTTTCTCTCAGCTCTCTAAAATTCACAGAGCTTCACCTTGAGCTTTCTCTTTCTCCAATGTGGATGGATCAAAAAACCTTTCTATTTATACAACAGCACTTCACAGGCACAGGAGGCACCATACCCAGAGACGGTAATCTGATTAATAAAGGAATCCTTGGAAATGTTTGGATAAATGTACAAACCTCACAAATGTGTTCTCAAGACTGAAATCATGGTTTCTGTCATCATCATGTCTCAGAGTCAATGAAAAGAGATCGAAATCTAAAGTGAAACCTGTTTGTTTTTTTGTATTTTGTGGTTGTGTTGATGTCCTTGCAAATTAAAAAAAATGTAACAAGATACATTAAAGAACTAGTTTGACTTTGGGGAATATGCTTATTTGCTTTCTGGCAGAGAGTTGGATAAAAAGATGAAGGCCAGTCTTAATATGAAAGTGGTGTTGACCTTCTCATCTAACTCTGCCCGAAAATAAGTGTTTACAAGATGTCCCACTATTACTTTAAGAGACGAGTCTCTGTGTTCAAGTGAATTTAGAGGCTAACATTTTCCAGGTGAGACATTTCTAAAGAACGTTATATTGAACACCCAAGTACACCATGTGGATTTTACTAGTACTTCAATGGTTTATGACCACAGTGAATATGTTGAACTCTGTTAACATCTGTATATCAACTGGTGAATAAATGTAATTACTTCCATGAATAAAAGTCTATATTTTAAAGGTCTTGCCTTGCGGTGTAAAAATGTAGCCAACAAACAAGTTAGTTTTAAATTGTTTATTACGTGATGTTATTTGACATATAAAAAGATAAAGATAAGAGGTCCTGAAGAAATGAAAAACAAGACCCACAGGCACTTTTTTTTTGAGCAAACTGCTCTTCATGCTGGGATGCAAGTTCATTAATGCAGTACATGGACAGTATATAGTATATATGAGGTTACACGGTAGCAAGATGAGAGGTAAGGCATTGAGTTACAGTCTGTTGCAAAAGATCACTTGGCCTAAGAAGAGGAAAAGTAGTGACAGGCGTTAACAGTATAAATAAAATGCTCCATCTATTTCATAGGAAGTGAAAAAACATTTGATCTCCCTGAAATTCAACAGTATCATGTAACAAGTAGTAACAACCTCCTGACTGGCGTTCTTCGGCGTCATGCTCTTGAAATGACGTATTTCATCTCAAGCTCCCTTCTTCAGTCATATTGTATCTCACAGCTTAGCATCGAACAAAATTCAAGTTAAAATCGGCCAAAGGCAGGCGCCTAAATTATGTTAGAAAGCGCACCAAAATGTGCCACCAAAATGTGCCACCAAAATGAAATCGTTTGGTCAGCTGCCTGATGACAAATTCACAAGGCATGTGAACACTAATCGAGCATTCAGAAAAACATAACATTGTGGTTCATGATGCTTTTTAAATACCCTCAAAATTAGAATACAGGTGCAGTTACACAGAGCCTTTAAGGTTAGGTCAGTTCACACGACTGGATGTGTCTGAAGAGTAAGCCACGATAGCAGCCCCCTCCCCTCCACCGTTTGTCTGCCTCAGTCATGTTTGAGTAGAGGGGGCTGAATAAATAAAGGCCAGACTACTGCTGCTGTGGCTGTCTGAACTCAAGGTCCCGGCCCTCAAGTACAGCCAGCCACTTCCACCAGGACACACACGCACACACACAGACAGTTCCCAACAACGCCCAACAGAGGGCGCGCTCTGCCTAGTTACCACAACGAGCGCTGGGCTCTGATAAGTTAAGACAACGCTGGTTTCCTTTTGGTCCTTTTCTGCCGCCTGGTTTTATATTCCATTTCTCTGGCATAGTTCAGTCTACTCCAGTCTGGTCTGGAGAGCTCATTTTAGGATTTTAGGAGATGGTGCAGATGGTGCTGCTGCTGTGGTTCTTCATGGCCTCCCTCCTCTTCAGCTCTCTGGTGATCCTCCTCCTGATGCCCTCCAAGTACAAGCCTCGGTCAAACTGCCCCGCTCCCAGGGGAATACTAAATAACACGAACAAACAAAACAGAACTCAGAAACAGAAATATGGGGTCAAAATAAAGGAAAGACAACTAGTACATTTATTTTAATCTATCAAAATCTAATTACAATAACAAGTAATTGACAATAAACTAATATAACATGATGGAACTTTTTAAGGTATGTTTTTGAATGGCAATGGGACTCACTTGTCTCTGCCCGGCCTGAGTTTGACCTGGAAGACACCGATGACGGGCCGATGGTCTGAGGTCTTGATGCCGGAGCAGCTGGTGTACTTGATCACTTTTATGTCATCAGCCTGCCTGTTCCTGAACAAGATCCTATCCTGTGAACACAAACACAGAGGTTTGACCCTGCTGACTTAAACTGTCCTGGTCAGTTTAAACTTTAATTAGTGCAGCAGAAATGTGTATAAGAGTGTCTTCCACCAAATGTTCGGCTTATTTGGGGGGCTATATTAACAGAGTATGTGATTATTTTTAGGCAGGTGAAGATTGATTTTCTTACTGTGTATGAAGGCGTCCTCTGTTTAGAAGTTGTGTCGTAGATATCATAGCCGATATCAAACTTGTATGTGGGGAGGAAGTGTATTGGTGCCTCTTGGAAGCCTTTAAAGATTGAACCTGGAGGGGAAATCATCACATTCACAGGGTGAGAATCAATCCAGCAACAACCTACTTGTATAAAAACTTTTCTAAATGTTTAAGGTGTTCAGGCTCCTACATGCAAGCATAGGATGGGATAGGATAGAAAGCATACCGTCATTCATTTCCTTGGATAGCTGGTCGTGCTCCAACAGTGGGCCCATATCTCCGTTGACTGTGCGGTTCATGATGGTCTCCACGTCGACTCGGTCCTTACTCAGCCGAAAGTTAAAATCTCCAAACCAGAAGACCTGATCGAATCTTGTGGTGACGTCAGCTACAATTAGAAATGACATGATTATCAAACATTGCCAGCCATTATTCTTACCAAACTCAAGACTTTAATCCAAACTAAGTATATAAATAACAATACATTATATTCTCCCTCCCACCCTCTAAGGTAACGGAAACAGCGATTCTTATTTTCAGGTGATTATACACTATTGAAAACACACCTATGGATATTATCTTAAATGTTACACACTGGACCTTTAACAGAATATGAGGCTAACTGCAGTGTGTTTAAGTTTGATCATGTAACAGTTTTTTGGGTGCAGAAATACTGACATCCTAACACATTTTTCACATCCTTCACACAAGGCAACGTAAGTGAGTCTTACATGGTGTGGAGCGGTAAGGGTTGGTGTCTGGAAGGCCTTTTGGAAGAGCTAGAGCCTCGACGATCTTGTTGTAATCTAGTATTCTCTCGTAAACTTTGGCATCTCCAGCTGGAAGAAGAACAGAATAACACATTAGAAAGAATTAGAGACAATATTTTCAATGTACATGCCGGTATGCTGAAGATGTAAAAACAGTAACATTAGCGTTTTTTCTCCACTTTGACACTTTCCACAAATCTACAGCCAGCTACTCACAGGTAAAATGGGATGTGATGAAGAGGAAGGAAGTGCCAAAAAAGGTTAAGGCAACTCCCACCGCCCCTTTGGTCTTGATCTGAGAGATGATCCTGGTTGTGACCGTGGCGTGCTCCACCTCTGTGTGGGTGAACAGAACAAATGTTGTGGTTAGGATCATATCCCAACAATATGCACTACACAGAAGTTACATCTTTGTTTCCTCCCAAACTGATGTTTATTTCCTGTATTATGTGAAGTCGCACTGACCTGAGCAGAACCAGATGAGATCTCTTCTGACAAATACGGTAAGATACAAAACACCATGTGATGCTGCGTACAGCATGACGTAGTAAGGTCCCAGAGTCTCCTGAAGACGGGTCTCCCACTCCCTCCTTCACACACAATAACACAACAACTTCACATCCCTTCATCCCTCAATCAAACGGACTCCCTTTTATTCAGTGATCATGATGAAAATCAGAACTAAAAATAACATACCTGTCAGGACAACCCTCCTGGACCCCAATGATATAAAAGTCTTGTGCAAATTCAGAGTCTGTTGGTAGGAGGAGATCATCTAAGTTGGCTGGAAGTCCCTGGAAAAATGACAGGAACTTTAGTTACAACTCAGTTGGAGCCTCAACCTGAAGACTTTAAGCGGCTCTTGGTCTGTGAGATGCTGCAGAGTCCTGATTTCCCTCTACCTTCTCTCCCTGCATGTTCCATGTGGCTATGTAGAGGCCCACTCTCCGGTCCGGGAAGTAGCGATCCAGCTCCTCAGCACCGAGCAGGGCGCCGCTTCCCAGCAGGCTGCCCTCCAGAAAGCTCCTAGAAAGCACGCATGGGAGAGGATTAGAAGCTCTCTCTTTTGGCAGCCAACTTACTCTGCAGCATGCAGCAACAAGCGAGGCTCCTCACTCAGATGTTACAACAATATTCTAAAAGTACAATTTGGACTTTTCCCGACTGGGCACTAACTGTGTGTTAACACTGCAGACTAAACCCCATTTTTGCCTCTAATCCTGTCAAAAACTGAACTGAACAAGCATCTCCTCTGCACCCTTCTAATAACCCCCCACCCACCCTGCCAACACCCCCTTTCTCTTAAAGATGTGAGCAGTGCACACAAACAATGTAAAGACAAATTAGCAGTCTGTTGCTGTTACTTACTACTACTTAACACTCACTCCAGAGTGTGAACCAAGCTCCAGATGTGCTGTGCTAATCAGCTCCAATCAGCGGGCACAATCAATAGGAAAAAGCTCGTGGTGGATATAAGATACTGCACCTCATTCTCATGCAGTGCCTGCGCATACTAACTTTCTTCCGAGTCATTTTCTTTTGGTAGAAGGATAAGGATAGGTTGAAGCCCGGCCAGAGCTCAGGCTGACTCACTTTATGTTGTCACTGGTCTATAAATATAACTTAGGAAAGAGACCGCACTCCAATAGCCTTCTGACTCCGGAAAAGAGCGAGCCTTACAAAACAGCCCTCACTTCCTGACGGGACGACTCATACTGTACCTGTTCCTCACATCCTGGGGTCTGATGGGGCTAAGCACACTGTAGGTGGACCTCATGGAGTTGACAGAGGCACTATCCGACCCCATGTTCTCCAGAAGCCGGCTGTCGCTCAGGTTCCTGTGGAGTCTCTCCCCGAGCTTCTCTCTGGCCAACATGGCATAATCCAAACAATCCCTGTCAATCCTATTAGCCGCCCTCAAAGTGGCTGACGCAAAGCTCTTCTCCAGAGCAGGCAACGGCCCCGTGGGTTGCACGGGAGTCAGACGCACCTTTGCGGACCTCATCCGGTGGTCTGTGGGGTCGCTCTGCTGGCTGGGGGGCCTCCTTTCATAGTCAGACAGACTGCTCCCCCTGTCCCGGAAGACTGGGGATCCTGTCGTAACAGCAGAGCGGGGTCTCACTTTGGAGTCCTGGTCATTCCCGGTGGTGGCAGCAGCGCTGAGGACAAGCCCACCTGGAGCTGTTTGGTTGTCTTTAAGCGAGTCCGTGGAGGAGCCAGTCTCAGCCGGGTCACTCAGACTCTCCTGGCTGTTTCTCAGCCACCTGGTTCTCACGGTCTCCTCCACTGAGCTGCTTTTGCTGGATTTTGACAGCCGCGGCAGTGAGGGGGGCCGAGGCTGGTACGGTCCAATCTCTCCCTCTGTGTTTTTAGCAGTGAATTTAAGGACATCTTTGTGCTCCTTGCACGATTTGGCATCTTCTGAGGAGGGAGCGAGTCGCCTGCTGTCACTGACAACTGAATCTCCTTTACCAGCTACTTCACAGGACTGATGGAGGGGGCTGTCCTCTCCATTCTCAGTCATCCTCTCCTCATGTCTGAGACCAGCCGTGGTCAGGTGGATGGGGCTGGCTCATTGCTAAGTGACATACACCTGAACATACAGGGCAGAAAGTGATTCAGTGAAACGAGGGCCTTAAAACAAGTTAGTTCAGCCAAGTTACCCACACAAGGTGAACCGGTGGCTGCACTTTGAACATTTAAGACACGGTTAACCGTCGTTAAACATGCAACATTAGTTAAGGATAACAACTAGAAGTTAATAGTTAACTTGCAGCGTGAGATAATTAATGTTAGCTTTGGCGGTCAAAGTTACCTAACGTTAGCTATAAACTCGAAAGTCCAGTTGTTTTCCAAAGGCAACAAAAGCGCCGTGATTTCTGCTTAATAACCTCCAGCCACCATTCAAGTCTACATACACAGCGCTAATGTGATATACTGTGAATAACCCTTCATGAACATTAGTTAGCAGTACCAGCTATAAACAATAGCACAACAGTAGCGGCACAGCTAGCTGAGCTAACGTGTGAAGCAGTCGTTTATAAGATCATATAAATAAATTAAATAAAAAGGCAACGTTGGTAGTTTTCCGTCTTGTGTATTTATTTCACTGTTCTCACGTTGGAGTAAAGTTACCTCTCGTTTACTGTTGTTTGGTTTCACTGTGGCTTATTTAAAAGTAGCTCGCCTACTTCCTTAGCAACGTTTGAAAACAGACTGTGTTACTAAGACAAGAGAGTCATTGCAGAGAGCAGAGGATGTCTCACAGCGCCCCCCTGTGCCGAGGAGCGGGAGGACATAGCCCCCTCATGTCATAATGTTACAGTATCCTAATGAACAGTTACTAGTTGGCCTAATTATTATGACTCTTTTGGTTATTTGCCCCCTGACTACAATTACTACAGTATTAATGGAAGAGAAACAATTTCAGCATCTCACATGGCTTATAGTACATTATATTCACCTTAAAAATGTGACATTTATCATAAATTATGTCATGTTTAGCTGTCAGCGTTACATTCAGAAAGACATTGTTAAAGTGTATTAATATATATGATTATTGATATCTGATTTACCTGTTAATATTACACATTCCCTTTTAATTCTCTAATATATATTTTTGCAGCTTGTTATTAAACCTTACTTATTAATACAATGTAAATCCGGACTCACTGTGTGACTACTGTATAAAAAATGTATTAGGTTGTGCCAATGTCCAATGATATACTACAATAAATGGCCGTACTTGTTTTGTGAATACAACTGAATCTGGATTTTTCATGTAAAAACATTAGATTTTTCCAGCTTCTCAAATGTGAGGATTTGCTGCTTTTAAGAAAATAAATAATAAGCTGTGACACTAACCTAAAAAAATCCCCTAAAACATTACAATCATCACCAGACTTAAATTGTCATAATAAATAATATATTTTGTAATTAATACATATTAGTATTTCAAGAAGAAGATTAAATTATTGGCAAGGCAAGGCAATTAAAATGTGTCTTTTTGCACATCCCTTCAATTTGTATGGAAGCCCTAAAGGGCCATGCATTCATATTTTTTATTTCCCCCGTTTTCCCGTGATAACGAGTTAATTTTCTCGTG